CCTGTAGCAGCCTGAGGTGATCTGCCAAAATGGCTCGAACTCGACCCAGAAAACTCGATAAAATCATGCAAATCAAACGGGTTTAATCTTCAGGTCCATATTAAGAACACCTGGGAAACTGCCGAGGCCAGCAAGAGTATGCATATCTGGAAAGCCACCAAATATCTGAAAGATGTCACTTTGCAGAAGCAGTGTGTGTCCTTCCGATGGTCCAATGGTAGAGCTGGGAGGTATGCCCAGGCTAAACAGTGAGGTTGGACTCAGGGTTGATGGCCCAAAAAGAATGCTGAGATTTTGCTGCACATGCTTAAAAATGCAGAGTAGTGCTGAACTTCAGGGTTTAGATATTGATTGGTCACTGAGCACATCCCCAAGAGGCACTTCCAAACTTTATAGAGCTCATGGTCTGCTCAGTGCACATGAGCTGCTCCTCACACTGAGATGATCCTGACTGAAAATGAACACATTGGTCCTAAAACAGAAGAGGAGGTTGCACAGAAGGAAAAGATCTCCCAGAAGAAACCAAAGAAGCAAAAACGTATGGGTTGGGGAGTAAATGGAGCTTAAAATAAAAGTTAACTGCCTAGATAATGCCCTTCACCCACATAGGGAAAACATCAGAGACAGGTTGTTGTTAGAGCAGTTTGGTTTTCATTCGTTTGGGGGTAGGTTAATGAGGCTGTGTTTGAGCTTGAGGTGCTTAAGAAATATTAGTAAGTGACTGACTAGAAGTCTTAAGCTAGAGTCCTGGTTTAAAGCTAGAGATTAGAGCCTCATCAGCATGTAAATGGTAAGTGAACTTGTAAGTTTGGACAGGGTAACCAAGGGAGAGTACAGGTGGTTCCTGATTGGTGACAGAGTTCCAAGTTGGTTCTGACATGCATCAAATACTTCTTTTTTACTTTTTATACTATTGCCTTTGTTATCAACACCTTTAAAAATCGGTAGTGTTCTGAACAGTAAATAATAAAATGGAACCTCTGTAAGGATAATAACATGAACAAATCATCCACTGTAACATATTACTAATGATAAAATGTACAAAAAACCATAGGCAGCCATAAGTATAATTCATCTTAACTCAAAAACATTGCAGTCAGACACTTTATGTACTGTTAACAGTGGAAGAGAAGGAAAATACACTTGACTAGAGGAAAAGTGAACACATACAGAACCACAACACGCAGCACTCTGGAGCAGCACGGACCACGTCCTCCACGCTTAAATGGGTCAAAACCAACGCTGCGAAAAACACTTAATGTAGCCAATCCCAAAGTAGTTAATGTAGACAACAAGAAAGCAACAACAAAACAGAAGCTAGGGTACCTTTTTAAGAATGAAACTGGGAAAAAGTAATGAATGATAACAGATTATCTGCAGAGCTGTCATAAAATTTGAGTCTATTAATAAAAAGCACCCAAAATCCTATCATGGAAATCAGGGGAACTCAGGGTGACATGTTTGAAATTGATTTTAGCCAAGAAACTTTTAATCTAGCACATTGCATTAAACTATGAGGGGGCTTCAGAAAGCTCATGGAAAAGAATGAAAAGATACCGAATTTTCCCCATAAACTTTTGTAGCCCTCTGGTATTAAAATTGACATGAGAGAACTGTTCTGCACAGCACCCATAACACATAGGGGCACCAAGAAAAAGTTGGCCACATGTCCTTTGCAGTATGCAGAGAAAAAGATGTCTTAATCCAGGAACAGCCCTATCTAATACTTGGAGCAGGAATATGCCTCGAATAGACAGGAATGCATATGCTCAGTGACACTAGCTATTAAGATCCTGCAACTAATTCTTCTTGCTTTGATTGCCTGCTCACCAGACAACCTTATAATTATAATGTAGCATCCCACACAGATTTGCCTGGAGGAAGAGGATGCACACATCATGAAACAGCATATTGGATAATTTAATTATCTTTCTCATGGTAAATTAACAAACCGACATTCTGTTTAGAGTATCAGTTCCCT